CATAACCATTATTTCTTTTAATTTTATGCTATAAAAACTCATCAGGCAAACTCATGTTACTCTTAATTTTTGTGTGTATGACTACAGGGATTCCTTCATACAGACTTACAGCAAATATTTAATAATTTCTTTTTTTGCTTTGTTTTCTAAACAGAATATAAATGCATTTTTTCTCAAAATCACTTGGATTTTATTTCTAATGGGAGAATGCTAATTAAAAACTTCTATAGAAATACTTTGATAATTAAAAGTGAGAGACTAATTATTTGTCCCTTTTATTGATGGGAAACATTAGAGCAACAGTACAGAAAAGTATTTCCAAAATGCATTTTAAAAAGCCTTTTGATAGAATAATAGGAACTTTTAACAGTAGCTCCTGTTCTATCCTCACCTGCGACACTTGTACAACACAAAAATGAAGCTTCTGTGGACATTTTCTCTGACTATGTTACAGGCACCCTGGGTATTGATAAGCCCGATGAAATCACTAGAAAAAAGCAGGAAGAAATTCTCATGCAAATGACATATTTTGGGAACTGCAAGGGGAAATATTCTAAAGGCTACTACAGTGCTTCTACTTGAAAGGGGGAACCAACTGGGTTGAACTGATAAAAGATTTAGTCTGAATAGCCAGCATGGGAGGCGTAGGAACTGTATCCCTTTTCCTAATTAAAAAGGAGATGAGAAGAAACTATGCCATGAGTTGCTGAGGTACAGGCCAACAGAACGGGCGTTTCTTTTTTTTTCTTCTATTGTTTTAGACTTTGTATTTTAAATGGCACAGAGATATGACCAAACTATAGAGCATGCTGTGAAATAGCTCTCTGGATTTTCTGTCCCACTGACTGGCAATGGGGTGATCTGGACCTTTGGGTGAGAGGATTTTTTTATGATTTATTTGGATTTGGATTTTTAGGACAGCATTTCTCAGTTCATGGTTAAAGATAATCACTTCAATAAATGTTTTTCCAACACATTACTGGGGCATGCCTGTGTCATTTCCCAGCCTTGCTAGTAGTTATGAAATTCATTTTCCTTGTTCTATTCACACACTCCAAGACTAATGCCCAAAATGTTATTTAGTCTTTGTTATATATTTTAGCTAGATGTTTGATCATCTAATTATTCATGTAATATTAAATATGGGTTTTTGCAGCAGGAAAAAATTTTCAGATATAATGGTTTTCCTCGAAATGCTTACAATTTAGAACTGGTGGCAAGATGATGATTTACTAAGGTAACTAATGATTGATATGATAAAGGTAAAGAGTGGATACTCTTGCAATATAAGAGGCTTAAAAAATCTTTAAATTTCCCTACTTAGGTAGGAAACGCTTTCCAGAGAAATGATACTAAGTCGAATTTTGAAAGATCCTACTTTTCCAGAAAGGGAGATAAATGGAATATAGATGAGCTAAGCAATCTGTATGGACAGGGACCTTGGAAATGACGTAGTTAAGTATGGGTTTTATCCTAAATATAATAAGAAACCACCAAGAAGTAAGGCAAAATCAGGTGTGCATTTTGGGGAAGTTCGTTTAATGACCTTGTACAAGATAAAAAAAAGAGACAGACTGGAAGCAGGGAGACAAGAAAGGAAGCTGTTGGAATAACACCAGGGAGAAAATTGCTGTTAGGCGTGTGGCTGGAAGACAACCTTGTGCATTGCCTAAAAGCCTAGACTGTTCAATAGACTTGGGCTCATAAGTACATAATATCTCATAATATGTGCATACTATGTGCATAAGGTCCCACTACATTTGCGTGATCAAAAATTTGTATTGAACAATATCATTCAGATAAAAGAAAAATAAACTCAGAGGCCCGCATTGTGGTATAACAAGTTAAGCTGCCGCCTGCAGTGCCAGCATCCTATACAGGTGCTGGTTCAAGTCCTGGCTTCTCCACTTCTGATTCCACTCCCTGCTAGTGCATCTGCAAAAGCAGTGGAAGATGGCCCAAATGCTTGGGCCCCTGCACGCACATGGAAAACTCGAAGGATGCTCCTGGACCCTGGCTTTGGCCTGGCCCAGCCCAGGCCATTGTGACCATCTGGGAAGTGAAGCAACAGATGGAAGACCTCTCTCTCTGTCTCTCCCTTGGTCTCCCTGTAACTGCCTTTCCAATAAAATAACATAAATCTTTAAAAAAAGAAAAAAGCTCAATGGGGTCAACTGAACCTAGGGAATATTTGAGAAGTGTGATAAGAATTCACACAGCTCAGAAACAGGCCATACCTATCAACTCTCTAGTAGGACCTCTGGTCTCTTTCATTCACAGTTTTGCTCTTTGCGTATCTTTCCTTCCTTTTCTCTTTTAATCCTTTGCTTTTACTCAATTTTTACCTCTTCACAACGTCTACCAGGCATGACCATCATAGCTTCACAGGCCTCATACTAGTCAGTTCCTCTTACAGCATGGATAGTCTCTCTCGATATTTCCTAGGTCAGATTCCCAAGAGAAAGGAGTGAACGACTCCACTCCTCTCGACTTATTGCACGGAGCTGGCTTTCCACAGCTCTCTATCATCTTAGCTAGCATAAAGTGATAGTTTAGAGCAAATATGCAGAGAACAAAGAGAGGTGACTACCTGATATCCTCTGGACTGAGCAGTTGCCTTAAGAAGGGACAACGGAAAAGCATACATTATATTAGTGGCAATAAAAATGAACTGCAGTGACAGGGTCAAATAAGAGGATCTCAAATCAGCTGAATACAATGATCCTTTTAAAATGGAAAACAGTGAGCAGAGAGGCTTCTAATAGGAGCTACTGAATAAAGAGGGGGAATAAGAGAAAGGTCTTGGGGTGAGGTCAATTTTGGACTTTGCGACAACATTGTAGAAAATCTCAGCAGATAATTATAAATTCTGTTCAGTTCTAAGATATTTTTGGACGACAGATAGCCACTGTGACCACTTTCTTTTTCTTGGCTTTGATGTTTTCCTTTAGTTTAGTCTTCATCATTGCCTCTTCTTTATTTGCCTACTTGTCTTTTTTCCTCTATGTGATCTTTTCTGGGAGTCTTGTGTTTCTAAAAGTCCAGTGTGATTTCCCTTTATCTCCCCTACATAATCTCCCCTGAATTAGTAAGTACCAATGCACTCAGAATAAAAGCACACCTGTTCATCTTGGTTTTCCTGCAATTTTCCTTGTTTTTTACACTTCACTAATATCTTTCAGTTCACCAATACTGAATTTTCTTCTGCTTGAAATGTCCTCCTCCACACAGTTTTCACATGTACTATTTTCTTTCTCTGCATTTTGCTACATTGTTTCTTCAGTGAGGTTTTCCATGATATTTTTATACATTTCCCTTATTTGTCTTGTTCTCATTTTTTGTGCACTTATTTATAGAATTTACTAGTTTTTTGATTACTACCATTATGTATATGTATATTTGGTTTTCCTCTACCTCTTGCACCAAGGTAGCAATTGGGTCCATCTTATCCCCTTTTATTATCCTTAGTGTCCAGCATAACATTTAGGCTACTGAGGAAGCTCAAGAAATACTGTTTTAACTTAAATGTTATCAATTATGGTTGAAGATCTTGGAATAAATGAGATTGCCCATGGTTATAAATTGAGAAACTCTCAGCTAAAACCACCCTAAAATTGTGGGATTTTGGTTGGTTGATTCGGTATTGTTTTAGGGCAGCCCTCTGTTTTACCTTTTTTCAGTAACTTTGGGTGTGACATGAGTGCTGTAGTTTTCTATAAACCTCACGTAGAAGTGGCATTGAAATACTGTAAAAACAAGTAGGACTTTTCATCAATTAGAAAGGCAGTAGGAGCACCTGCTTTGCCAGATATCAATCCCAAGAATGATTAGTTATTCAAAAGGTTATGAGATCATAGGAAGATGTAGGGTAGAGGGAGATAAGTCCTTAAGATAACGGTTATTTACTGATTTCTATGAAAATGTCTCCATATTAGTGAAGACACTCTTTATCTGTCAGTCTTAACCTCCCCATTAGAGGAATCTGAGTTTGTGACTCCTGATTTATGTTAAGAAGAGGAGAGCAGAGCCCAGAAACAGAACCCTGGGAAACATTAATATTCAAGAATTAAATGAAATGAAGTAAACCCAAGAAAGCTAGAGAAGAAAGGGGGAAACTAAAAGATCTTTTTCTAGCAGCTCAGGGAAGAAAGTGCTCTAAGTTATCAACTATGACATTAGAAAAAGGTGGAGTATTCTTTAGTTGGAGAGCATTGATGACTGCAGGACAAAAGTTTGTATGAACTATTAGGTATAAAATCAACTTTCCATGGGATGACAAATGATTGTAGACTATTTGGTAGGCCTACAGATGAAGGGAGTTTCAGGTGCATTCTGACAGGGGCATGGAGCATGGGAAAGGGTGTTGTCCGAAGGAGATTCCCAAACAGCAATAAAACCAATGAAAAGTGGCTTGTGTTTTTGTTTGTTTTGTTTTGCTTTGGTATAATTATGCATGCTGGCCATTCCAAACCAGGGTAAGGTTTTCCTGTCCTCAGTTTCCTCCCTTGAAGAGAGGGATTGTGTTACAGCAGGGAGTCAAAGGAGGATGACTCTGTGGGACTAGACAGCCTTGTGAATGTTTATGGATGAAAAGTGAGCCCAGAAGCAATGTTTCAATATAGTGCAGGCCCACTAGAGCTTCTAAATGCATGCAAAATGTGCAAACAGAGGAATGATTTTGCCTGGGACAAAAATAGGGATGCTGAGTCCTAGGTGGAAGCTTCATTTATCCTTGATTCAGAATTGTTTCTTTAAAGCTAAATTGTAGTCCAATTTTTTGAAAATTAACTCACAAATCTTGATTTGATTGTTGTTGTTAGTCATTATATTAATTTTTGAAGATAATGATGTTTGAAAAATAATGTCAATATTCTAGATGAGACTGCTAACTTATTTCATGAATTTAATGTACAGTAATTTTAAGTGCATTTTATTAATAGGTGCATTCTAATTTCTGATATTAAGTTAATGTGCTCTATGTTTACCCTTATTAAATCCAGGTAACAAATACTGGGTGTTCAAGGACACGACTCTCCAACCTGGTTATCCACATGACTTGATTACCCTTGGAAGTGGAATTCCCCCACATGGTATTGATTCCGCCATTTGGTGGGAAGACGTTGGGAAAACCTATTTCTTCAAGGGGGACAGGTTAGTACACATTTTACTTGAGAGAAACAACTGACTAATGTTTGGATAAGTAAACATTTCTAGCCTATCATAAACATGTATTTTTGAGGAATCTGTGTGACTATAAACACGTTGATATAACTGAAAATATTTAAATATTTTAAATAATATTTAAAATGCATATCCTAATGTATTTACCTAATGTGGCTTTCTTAGGAATGTGTGTATGTACAATAGCAAATATCCTTTCTTTTCCCCCTAATCTTAACATGTCTAAAAGGTGATACAAGCAGTATATATATCCATATAACACATTTTCTTGCAATTTTACTGACATGACTTGGCAAAAAGCTTTTCAGCACAGGCATTTTTATAATTTCACAGTCTAAATTTTTACATTTTCCTCAAATTTATGAATATTTTCAAATTTTTGAGATAACATATTTTTAAATTACATTATAGTCAAAAGCCTAATAATACTCCACTAAATAAAGAGTTCAATAAACCATATATAAAAAGACCCTAGTTCTTTTAATTTCACTTTAATCATGAGTTGTTTTTCTTAAGAAGTTATGTATTTAGATACCAGCAAGCAGTTATTGTAAACTATTACCAAACTATCTTACCTTAATGCTTTTAGCTTCAAATAAAATATACCTTCCCAGCTCTTTTACTCTTTATCTTATTTTTTTTTTGTTTTCTTATATTGCTAACAGGGTTAAAAATGAGTAAATTGCTCATATTATAGCTTACAGTAACTACCAGATATACTTATTTCTACCTTGCTCATTTTGTTGCCATATATTATTACCTTCTAAGATATATAGAAATTGAAGGCTATATTTTTTGTTAATTTAAATATGAATTAAGTACAAAAAGCAGTAAAGATAAAAAATTGAACCTTAATTACATACCTACAGACTAGTTAACAATGTGAAAACTAGTTAGTAATTTTCTTGGATTTGTAGGACTTAAGTAAACCATTTTACTTCCTTTTTCCAATAAATGTTTTAAAGCACTTACATATGAATAACAGGCATTAATGTCAATCGTGAAAGCATATAATTTGCTACCATGAAATAATCCTATAACTGTCTCTAACATAGGAGAAAACTATGTAAGGGTGTAAACTTAGTTTATTTAGAAATTTGCAATTATTAACTATAAATGGTTTCAAAAATCTAACTATATGAACAAAATGATCCTTTAATTGCCTCCATGGATAAGAATTTATGTTTTTAAATTTATTATAATTAATTTTATATTTTTATATATTTTTATAAAAATGTTCACATATAGTCCACTCTAATAAATCTAAGGCTTTGCTAAGATATTTCTCATTAAATTACAAAGATCCACTGAATAAATGTTGTGTAAAGCTACAAGCAGTATAATGACTCGAAACAGGATGTAAGTATAATAGAGTGTGCAATTAGAAGAATGAAGAACATTATTGCCAGAGCATGGTGACTACTAATGGTGTGCTGGATTAAGCCTTGCCTTGGAACTCTCACATCTCGCACTAGTGTGCTAGTTCATGTCCCCGCTACGCTGCTTTCTTTTCTGGCTTCCTGCCAGTCCCCCTTGGAAAGCAGCAAATGATTGTCCAAATTCTCGAGTCCTTGCCATAAATGCGGGAGACCAGGGTAGAGATCTAGGCTCCTGGCTTCTGCCTGGTGCTGCCCCTGCTGTTGCTGAGCATTTGGGGAGTGAGCCAGTAGGTGAAAGATATCGCTCTTTCTCTCTCACTCTCTCTCATTCTCTCTCTCCCTCCCTCTCTCTCACTTTCTCCATCTCTCCCTCTATCTCACTCTGCCGTTAAAATAAATAAATAAAGATAGAGAAGAAGACCTACAACATATTCTTTAAAATGTTATGACTCTTAGAGTTATTTAATTCCTGAGTGGTGTTAACTGCTTGAGTGTCCTGCTTCTGGACCGGGTACAATATGGAAATGGAAGGCTGGGGAGACTGGAGAAGGTAACCCCTAGGAAACTGCAAACGAAGCTTCCTCTCATATAACTGTTTTAATTAGAGTGTCATAGATGATAATAAAAACTTCCATTTCATTATTAGATAGTCCTTTTTCCACATATGCAGGGATTTCTTTTAAAATCTTTCCATTCTAAAGATTTAGGGCTTGTTAGAAAATGTAAGTGTAGAGATTAAATGTCATTTATATTAAATCTGTGAAACCAATGAAGGTTAGATAGCAAATTTATATTGGAATATGAATACTACTTAATGGGAAAAGGATTTTTAGTTCATTTGTTTCCTGCTTGAAAAGCTGCGTGCAAAATAGCACAAAATGCTTTTATCATTCTTAAGTTTTACATAAATAACTGTAGTTTTATAGGTTTTAAAAATATTGAAAATAGGAATCCAGTTAATTTCATGTGTGTGATCTTCTGTAAGACATCATGAGTTTCAGAGGTTTTACAAACAGATTACTTAATATTTGTGTAATTATTTAATTCCCAAATCCCAACATTGATCAAAACATTCATTCTAGATTTAAAAATAGATTAAGAACGCATCAGACTACCTCAGTCAAACATATAAACAACAATTTGGGTGTCACTTTTATGGAAGATTTTGTTTTTCCTTACCTATTTCTCCTCGTCTTCCACCCCTATCTTTCTGCTTAGAAGGAAAAGTAGCTAACATTCTTCAATTTCTATATGGCTAAGAGTAGAAGGGATTTTAGAGAGAACCCAGTCAAGGTATAAATGTTAAATTGATTGAAGGGGTAAGATGAATAAAATATAAAAAGACACTTCAGAATATTTATTTAAAAATACAATGAAAAGACATTTGCTTTAGTGCTACTTTTCATAATGCAGATATTCTATTAATTTTGAAGACCTGTGATATATAAATACATATATATATGCATTTCATTTTGCACAAAAATTTATTATTCTATTTTCCATTTGTCTAGTTTTGCTTTTGTTACCTGTGCTTTTAGAACCTTTTCCAAAAATTAATTGCCTAAACCAATGTCTTAAAGTGTTTCTCTATGTTTTCTTCTTGCAATTTCATAGTTTCAGGTATTACATTTAGGTGTTTGATCCAATCTGGGTTCATTTTTTTATATGATGAGATGTAGTGATCTAATTTAATTCTTCTACATCATTATGTCCAGTTTTGCCAAGCCATCTTTTGAAAACATTCTTCTTTTTCCGCTGTTGGTTCTTGGCACCTTTGTCAAAAATAAATTGATGTCTGGATTAATTTCAAGGATCTTCACTCTGTTCCATTGATCTGTGGGTCAGTTTTTATGCCAGTAACATTTGGTTTTAATTACAATAGCTTTATAGTATACTTCAAATCATATTTTGTGATGTTTCCAGCTTGATTTGATTGATTGATTGATTGCTCAGGATCACTTTGGCTATTATGATTCTTTTGTAGTTTCAAATTAATTCTAGGAAGAGTGTTATTGGTAGCTTGCAGGAATTTCAGTGAATCTGTGAATTATTTTAAGTAGTAAAGAGATTTTAATGATATTAATTCTTTCGATGTACGAACACAGGATACCTTTCAATTTTTGTGTGTTCTTGATGATTTATTTCATCACTGTTTTATAACCTTTTTAAAAGATTTATTTATTTAATTGAAAGTCAGAGTTACACAGAGAGGTAAGGAGACGCAGAGAGAGAGAGAGAGAAAGGTCTTCCATCCGCTGATTCACTCCCCAGAGGGCCACAATGGCAGGAGCTGCACCATTCCGAAGCCAGGAGCCAGGAGCTTCTTCTGGGTCTCCCACGTGGGTTCAGGGGCCCAAGACTTGGGCCATCTTCTACTGCTTTCCCAGACCACAGCGGAGAGCCAGATCAGAAGTGGAGCAGCTGGGTCTCGAACCAGCACCCATATGGCATGCTGGCACTGCAAGCAATGGCTTTACCCGCTACACCACAGCGCCGGTCCCTGTTTTATAATTTTCTTTGTGGTGATCTTTCACTTCTTTCATTAGATTTATTACTAGATATTTTAATTTTTTTGTAGCCATTGTAACTGGGAACTCTTGACTCCTTTTCAGCAACATTATTATTGTTATATAAAAATGGTACTTTTTTTATAAGTTGGTTTTTATCCTGCAACCTTAGTGAATTGTTTTATCAGTTCTAAAAGCTTTTGGGTAGAGTGTTGAGGTTCTTCCACATACAAAATCGTATTATCTTCAGAACTCAATATGTTTATTTCCTTCTTCCCAATTCTGATGTCCTTTATTTCTTTAATCTACAAAGTTGCTCTTTTAAGAAAAGAAAAATATTCATTTATTTATTTGAAAGACAGAAGTACTGAGAGAGAGAGAGAGAGAGAGAGAGGAAAAGACATTTTCAATCCACTGGTCCACTTCCGAAATGGCTCTAATGGCCAGAGCTGGATCAAGTCGAAGTTAGGAGCCAGAGCTTTATCTGTGTCTCCCACATAGATGGCAGGGCCCCAAGCACTTGGGCCATCTTCCACTGCCTTCCCAGGCACATTAGCAGGGAGCTGGATCAGAAGTGGAGTAGCCGGAGCATGAACTGGCACCCATATGGCATGCCAGCAATGCAGGCACCAACTTAACCTGTTATGCCACAATGCCAGCCCCTCCCATATTGCTCTTGCTAATACTTCCAATACTGTGTTACTGAAAAGGAGTAACTGTGTTACTAGTTTTGAGGGGATATTGAGGGGGAAGTGTTTTCAACTTCTCCCTGTTCAGTATGACGTTGGCTTTTGGTTTGTCATATATAGCCTTTCTAATTTTAAGGTAAGTTCCTTCTATACCTAATTTGTTGAAAATTTTTGTTATGAAGGGATGTTACTTACTGAATGCTTTCTTTGCATCTATTGAGATGATCATGGTTTTGTTCTTTGTTGTTTTGGAGTGATTTATGAGGATTTTAATGATTTGCAAATGTTGAGCCACCTTGCATCCCAGAGACAACTATCACTTGATTGTGGTATTTATGATCTCTTTCATTTATGTCAGAGTCTGTTTGCTAATATTTAGGTGAGAACTTTTCATT